CCAAATAAAAAGTAAAGAATAGAGTTACAAGAAACATAATGTTAAGAAGGAAGATGATCATAAAGATGAAGATTAAAATTAGCAGAAAATATGTTTGTCATTATCCCAACCCAAATGAAATCTTAAATGATTAATTGCGTAAACAACAAATAATCCAAATAATCATCATGTAAAAGGTATGATGCATAATATATATCAGTCTATTCCAACACGTAATATCTTTTTACATAATGTTATATTCTTTATATAGAAACATTTTATTTATAGCATTCAATTATACTATTTGTCAAATAAAAAATTATAGTAAGATATTATCATTATAAAAGTAATAAATAACAATGTTTAATAACATTTTCATTTATAATAAAGCAGAATCAAATATAAAAAAATTTGAAAAAAGATAAAAATTTACGTACTTAACAATTTTCGATGCCTCCATAGTTCAACTCTTTCCAAAAAATCATTTCATATATTATTATATCTTATCAGATAAATTATTAGAGTTGTATTTTTTAAACTTTTAGGTAATATTTATTGCTCGTGTATTATCTAGTTTCAGACAAATCAAAGTATGTGTATCTTTCTCCTTAAGCTTTTTCAACTTTTGAACAAGTCTCTATTTCCTCAAAATAAATCAAAACATGTGTCTCTCTCTTCTCGAGTTTCTTCAACTTTACGACAAATTTCAATGTGCATCATGAAGGTTCCATGGGCTCTCTCTCTCGTTAAGCTTCTCTCTCCTCAAGCAATGTCTAATGCAACATGTCCTCAAGCTTTCGTTTGCAATGGTCATGTTCATTCTCTCTCTCTCTCTCTCTGGTAAAATATCTCTATGCTCCTCACATTTTGTCTCTCCTCATGTCGTATAAAAGTCATTTGTTATTAACAAATTAAAAAAAATTACGATAATTTTAGAAGATAATATAAATTTTTTTACATTAATCGATATGTTATTAATCGATATTTAAACATATAATACTGAATAATAATGAGTTAAATACCGTTAATTTTGAATGTTTGTTTAAAAATATTTTAAAAATATAAAAAGCTATACAAAATTAAAAAAAAAATAGAACTTAAACAGAAAAATACCAATAGTAAATGTTTTATTTTACTATTTAACCCATATATATGTATTTTTTAATTTGTCCTCATTGAACTATTAGTATGAAATAATTTTTCTTGTTTTAAGTTTTGCCAAGCACAACATGTTAAAGCAGCTATCTTGCTTATTCAAATGTGGAAATTCAATTGATATGATAAACGTACCAGAGAGAATCGCGATTTGAGTAAGCGAAGTTGAGATTCTTTGGAGTAGACTGTTTTTTCGGAATGGAGAGTGGACACTGTAAGTACTCATGCGAGACCAGGGCTCAGACCCTAGAATGGATTAATGCGATAGTGGATTTCGTTAAACCCTACTCTTTCTTGATAAACGCTCAAGTCGTCAATTTCTTCAAGGTTTGTCTCTATCCATTTGCCCTCAATTCAAGACCTCTGATGAGTTGTTTTGGCACATATCAAGGAATTGGGGAATTTTCTTTTTGTTTACTGCAAAGTGATGGAAACCAAACTGATGATGCGTTCTTTTTATGGTGTGTGGTATGATGATCCTCTCAGGATAGATTATGGGAGGTGGTTGATGGTGAGTGGATGGATTGCCTACGTATGGAGCCTGTGGAAAATCTTCTCCTGATTCCATCTGGGGTGGTCCAGGTTCCTTTTGTTTTCTTCATTTCTTTGCATTTGTGCAGAAATAAGTAATTATATGGGGATGTCAAAGAATTATTTATTTGATAGAGAAAGTAGATGTACGCAAAAAGGAAATTATACAAAATTCTGGTTTTCATCTTCTTGCTATTTGCTCATCTACTTGGCTTCTCGTTATGCAATTCCCTAATGAACAATTCATATTTCTGTTGTGAATGGTGTTCAACTTCTATATCTGTTCTAATAAATTGACATTATTTAATCTTGCAATTAACTCTCGCTCGGTTTAGTTATTGCATCTTACTGCTTGATGGTAGGATTACTGGCCTGATTCGCTTAAGGGATTTATTTATACTATGAGGTCTCTTGTGTTTCCTAGAGAGCAGTCAGACTTGCAGAAGGTATGATATATCTCCACTCTTCTATGCATGTTTAGACTTTTCTATAAAAGAAATTATATATGGTTAGAGGTATTATTGTTTTATTAGTTTTATTATTATTGGCTTTTTGGTTAAGTATTGGCTTTCTCTTTGAAACCACACATACATCCCCAAACACCTCTAGTGTGCAACACTGCATGCTTCTTTTTTTTGGAGGCGATGCTAATGCGGATGCTGAGTGTTTTTATCTGACAAATTCAGTTGGTGATTCTTTTTATGACGTATAACATTATCCATTGCGTATTTACCTCTGTTGGAAGCTGCCTGTGTGCTTATTTTGAAGAATCAACTGAAGAGTAATAGGAAATGACAATTCTAGCAAAAGACAAAACCTTGGTAGGTACTAAAAAAGAAAATTTAGAGTGATCTCTCTACTAATCTATTCTTTGAGAAGGTATTCCGTTCTTTTAACAAATAGAAGGAAAAAGTTGATCCTTGTTCGAGCCTTTTTGGAATTCTAAAGTTACTGCATGGCCTGTCAATTTCATTAGTGAGCTGATGCAGCAAAAGGGAGAAATGGGGAAAGGGGCAGATATTAAGAAAGAAAAAACAGAACAACGGGAGACAACGAGAGAAAATACAGGAATTCAAAATGTGAAGTGGTGAGACAGCCATTTTGATATGCAATTTTCCATTTTGATATGAGTGTTTTATCTCTAAATGCCTCATCTTTGAATATATTAGCTATTTTCTTCAAAGAAAAAAGATCTCTAGATGTCTTGAATGTTAGAAAGGTGCCCTCATTTCTCTTGGTGGTAAGGTTAATTTGATCCAGACTTGACTTTTATCACTGTGCTTTATTTTCTCTCTTTGTTCTGGGTTCCTTATTTTGAGAGTATTGAGAGGGTTAGGAGGAAATTTTTTTTTTTTTTGGTTTGGTTCTAGAGGTTGTATAAGGGATGGTTTGGTTAAAGGGGATACATGTCTAAGGTTGACGGGTACCTAGGCATTGAGAATCTCTATTGTGAGAACTTGAGAGCATCTAGAAAGACCTTTATGTATATTTTCTTCCCATTCTCGCTAAGCAAACTGATGGGTAACAATGTTTTCTCTAAGCTTTCTAGAAGGTCCATTTAAAGTTTAGGTTTTGTGCTTTTTATTTAAAAAAAAAAAAAAGTTTAGATTTGTGAATATGCAG